TAGGGACACCTGGGTGGCTCAGTTGGTTAAGCAGCTGCCTTCGGCTCAGGTCATGATCCCAGCGTCCTGGGATCGAGTCCCACATCGGGCTCCTTGCTCGGCGGGGAGCCTGCTTCTCCCTCTGCCTCTGCCTGCCACTCTGTCTGCCTGTGCTCATGCTCTCTCTCTCTCTCTCTGACAAATAAATAAATAAAATCTTTAAAAAATATATATATATATATATAAAAATTTATTTGCTAATTTTCTTCTGAGCCAAGTGTCATATGTCACCCTAATTACTTCACATTCATCTCCTAAGAATATTTCTCTTTATGAACCACATTATAATACTTAACAAAATTAGCAGTAATTCCATTATATCAACTGTTGAGTCAATATTTCATTTTCCCTCATTGTCCCAAGAATATCTTTTATAGCTGTTTTCCGCTGAGTTATGGTCCAGTCATGGTCCATGGGTTGCATTTGGTTGTGTCTTCAATCTCTAACCTCCAACCCCCATGACATGGACTCATGTAGAGCTCAAAGAGCTTGAAGAGTACTTTGTGAAATCTCCCAAATTCTGGATTTGTCTGATTGGTTCTTTGTCCTATAATTTGTTCCTTTGTCCTCATTTCTTTGAAATGGGAGTTAGGTTTACAGATTTGATTAAATTCAAATAAAACATTTAGCAAGAATATTTCATAGGCAATATTGCCTACTTTATATATTAGGAGGTATGTGATTTTTTTTTTCACTATTAGTGATCTTAAATTAATTCACTTTGGGTAATGACTACCACATTTCACTCCGGTAGTCATATGAGTCAGTGCTCATATTGTCCCAGATTTGACTAATGAGAGTCTCTTCAGAGTTGCTTCTATTCCATTTTACAAGCCCCCATCTATTTCTCTTCACATACTTTTTTTGCAATATAGCATAGCAACATGTTTCAAGCTTGCTTTGTACTCTCCATACCCCAGAATGGAAATTAGCCATTTTTCCAAGGAGTTGTGGTTCCAGACAAGGAGAATTGTTGTGCTTTTTATTTGTTTTGTTTTTGTTTTTTAGTTTAATGATTCTCCCTTTTTTTCCTGCCATACAGACCTTCCTTCACTGAGTTCTGTATTAAATCAGGATTACTAACTATCAGATCCCAGTATCCAAGGCAAGGGTGGGATGGGGTAAAGGAGTGGTCTTTGATATGCCAGAGGAACGCTTCTAGCTTAAAGCAATCACTTCCTACTTTGGCAGCCTACTAGTAAAATATCCTGTCTCTGGTCCTTCTCCCTCTGCCTCTGATTTTTCTTTTTCTTTCTCCCTATCTCCCTATTTATTCTACGTTGACCTTTACTTGTATTTACCTATATAAAGGATTTTGGAGTTAAGGGTTTAAGCTTTGCAAAATGACCATTTCTGGCAGCCATTTCAGCTAATTAATTTGACGTTTAGGTTTTGATATGATCTTGCTTAATATTAATTTATACTTACTTAAGCAGGTTTCTTTTGCTGATGAGGCTGTGATGACTGCTGTTTCTTTCAGTTCTTGAATGGTGGTTGGCCAGATTACCTGTATGCTATATGTATTTTTTAAGATTTTATTTATTTGTCAGAGAGAGTACGCAAGCTGTGAGAGCAGCAGGCAGAGGGCGAGGCAGAGGGAGAAATAGTCTCCCCACTGAGAAGGAGCCCAAGGCAGGACTCAATACCAGGACCCTGGGATCATGACCTGAGCCGAAGGCAGACCCCTAAGTGACTGAGACACCCAGGCGTCCCTGTATGTTAGATTCTTGTCAGTCATGGTTTGGGTGCACAACTTCCCTTAGATTGGATTTTCTATATCTGTTGCATTCTTTTCTGTCATTTGGCCAGGATTGAGTTAAATAGGTATTTTTTTTCTCACTATACCCTCGCCCCCAAATCAGTGAAGATAGTATTTTACCCACATTTTCCTTACATAAATCTCTCTCTCCAGATTGGGGTGGGCAGTGAAGCCTCATTGTGTTAGGGACGAAGGAAAATTACTGGATTGTGTGGACATACATTTTGGATTTTCCAGGAAAAGGGGAGCATTTCAAAATCTGGTGAATCAAGACAGATATAAAAAACTGATTAAGGATAGGACTGCCTGTTTTTATACTCTGCCACATAGCATGTGTTTAAATGAATTTGCCTATAATTTGTTTTCAAATGCTGACATTTAATTCTTAGGCTGTACAATTGTGCTGGCTTTTTCCAGAGTAAAATTCTTATTCTGTATCCCAGCTAATATGTTCATCTACTATAAACATTACTGCCTATGGTAACAGCCAAGCTAAAAAATTATTTTTATATATATCCTAGCTGGCAGGAACTCTTGGGACCATCACACATCATTCTTGTCTTTTGAAGCTTACTGACAAAAAGCATGGTGATGTAAAACCAGCCTGGTCTGACATAGATTGACTTTGAAATCATATTAGCTTATACAGAACACTGTTCATTCTATTGTTATTGTTTATAAGATACTGAGTATTCAACAAGCTTTTCTAATTAATGTATTCTTTAAACTTAGTAACCTACCCTTTTATTAGAACCGTTCCTCTTCTATAAGCTGTCTCTGGCTCCTTTTTTTGTTAAAGGTTAATAATGAGAATAATGAAGCAATTGGTTATTTATGCAGTCATGATTGGCAAAAGTTATTAGAACAGGAACCTGCCCAGAGGCGATGATTAGGTTATGAAAATGTTAAGGAATACTGAAACCAGTCACCATTTTTGACATTTACGAAATACTGTTCCCACCCTTAATCACGATGACCTGTTATAAAAGAATTTATACAGAATAATCTCATTGGACAGTAATTTCTATACCAACAGCATACATTATTTAGTGCAAAGGGGGAGATTTGGAAATGATCTCAGAGAAAATTGGGCCTGGGGAGGAAATTACCACAATGAGAAGAAACAGAACTCTCTCTTGGGCGGAACTGTCTCCCACACACCTGATCTACAAAGTTAGGTGACCTTTCCAATTAGCATCTTCATCTTGAGCACTTTGCAAGTTTGAGGAGCTATAGAGGAGGATATCTCTAGTTAGGCTGCTGTGTTCTTCATATTAGACTGTGAAAAATGTAGAGAGATATATGGGCAGAAAATTTCCTGATGATGGTTTTATTAATGAAACACTGACTTAATTGACATTATAGAAAAACAAAATAAGACAAAAACCTAATCATAATTCCTTTATGTTTAGTATGGTTAGAACTTTCTTTGTAGATTAGGCACTAATTTTTACCACAGCACTATTATCACTTCTACTCTGCATTTTTTGTAGCAGTTTTATTAAGATAGAGTACATACAATAAGATTTGCCCTTTTGAAGTGTGCAGTTCAATCTATGACCATACCACCCTGAACGCACCTAGTCTGGTCTGAAGTGTGTAATTCATTGGTTTTGAGAATATTCCCAAAGCTGTGTGAACACAACTGTCTAATTCCAAAACATATACATTACCTACCCCACAGAACCAGTACCCATCAGCAGTTGCTCCCTATTCTCCCTCGCCCACCCCAGCTGCTAGCAAACACTAATGTACCCTCTGTCTATATGGATTTGCCTAATCTGGACATTTTTTCCCTTCAGCTTTTCTCATGTAATATGTACTTCAGAAAATTGGGGAAGAGGACAGAAAGTGAACATGGATGAATTAAAAAAATAAAATGTGATCTTGTATACTTAAAACCGAGTATTCTTTCCCCTAGTTCATTAGAATAGGTATTTAAAACAACGGCAAAACCCCCGTATCTTTATATACATAAAATCATACAATATGTGGCCTTTCATGTCTGTCTTCGTTAGCATAATGTACTCAAAGTTCATCCATATTGTAGCATGTAGCAATACTTTGTTTCCTTTTATTTTCCTTTTATGGCTGAAGAGTATTCTATTGTATAGATATACCACATTTAGTTTATCTATTAATACTTGATGATATTTGAGTTGTTTTCACTTCTTCACTATTTTGAAGAATGCTGCCCTGAATATTCATGTACAGGTTTTTATATGGACTTCTGTCTTTTATTCTCTTGTGTTTATACCTAAATGTGCAATTGCTGAGTCATACGTAACTCAATGCCTAACTTTTGAGGGGACTGCTAAATTATTTTCCGAAACAGCAGTGCCATGTTACATTCCCATTAGCAATATAAGAGGGTTGTAATTTTTCTACATCCTTGTCAAAGCTTTTTATTGTCAGTCTTTTTGATGACAACCATCCTGGTAGATGCAAAGTGGTATCTCATATTGTGGTCTTGATTTGCATTTTCCTAATGTTTAATGATATTGGGTATATTTTCTTGTGCTGCTTGGACATTTGTATATCTTGAGAAATGTCTATTCAAGTTCATTGCCCATTTTTAATTACATTAAGTAGTTCCTTACTGTTGAACCATACAAGGTCCTTATATATTCTGAATACCAGTCTCTTACCATCTCTATGATTGGCAAATATTTTCTCTCATTCTAGAGGTTGTTTTTTCAATTTCTTAATAGTGTCCTTTGAACCAAAAGTAGGTTTTTTGTTTTATTTTTAAAATTTTGAAGTCCAATTTCTATATTTATTCTTTGGTTTCTGTGTTTTCAGGTGACCATTGCCTAATCCAAGGTTACAAAGATTTACTTTTATGAGTTTTACAGTTTTAGCTCTTATGTTTAGGTCACTGATCCATTTTCAGTTAGTTTTAGTGTATGGTGTGAGATAGGAGTCTAAATTCATTCTTTTGCATGTTTGTTTTTATTCATTTACATGTAAAGATTTCAGAGAGAAATTTCTGTTCAAATGAGATGGCCGTTGCTACTCTCTTTGTGAATTATTGTTTTCATGATTTTTTTTTTGGTAGATATATGTACTGTGTTCATCTACTTGTGCTCTCACATACGGTTGCATTTTTGTCTCTCCTTTGTTTACTGGAATCTGAAAAGCAGTACTGATAGATACAGTTTGAATCAGCTTATTCGTTTTTTCCCTTAATTTGCAATCTCACCTCTTCAGCTACAGTATAGAGAATGCCAAGAACTTCTAAGTCTCTATCAGAAATATCTATCAGAACAGCAAGAGAAGCTCACCATGTCTCTCTCAGAACTTGGTGCTGCTAGAATGCAGGAACAACAGGTAAGCATCTTTATTCTTACCTTTTCTTGACTTTAATGGATTAGCAAGATGTCAGAAGAAGCATTTGCCTTTACTTTGAGTCACAGAATATAACATTGTCTTAAAGCATGTAAGTATATCATGTGATTGAATTGTGTCATTTACTTTTTTTTTTTTTTTCATCTCCTGTTCCTGGGGCCCAAAGGTCAGGAATGATTACTTGAAGCAGGCTGTGGGTCAGTGAGAAAGCTCCTAGTTGTCTGAAACCACAGCAGAAATGGTAAAGAAAACTCAGTACTCTGTTGCTTAATGGAGAAGATCACATGGGCTATTTGCTACCCATTGTCCTTATGGAAAACACTAATGAGCCTTTCCTAACTCACGTTTACATTTTTAGAATAATAAAGTGACTTGGTGCCTTATAAGATCTTTAATTGGAGAAAACTGAAATATTTTGCATGATTTTATATTTGTATGTATATACTAATCACATAAGTATGTATGAGAGTCTTCATATATAACATCTACATACATATCATTAAATGGTATATATTGTATAATTAAATGTTCAGAACCCTGCCAGTGGTAATGTGAAACAAGCTCTAAAAACTTACTTCTTGCCCTCTAGCAAGTGACACTTTGTATCTTTTTCATATCCAAATGAGTTTAAATCTTCAAATGGATGAGAATAGTAAGTGTTATATACTAAAACATTGTAGAAGATACTGTGCAGTAGGGCGTAAGCCATTCATATTAAAGCCTGGCTTATGTGCTAACATGTTATCTCCCCCTTGTGAATAATATCAGGTCCTGTGAATGGTTTTTTGCAACGCTTCTAAAGAACATCATTGCTGTTTAGCCTAGAGACCACTACCTCAGATAAGTTAAGAATTTGGGCCAAGAAAACTTCAGTTTTGAACTTGAAGTTTAGACTCATAGAAAGGTTAAGATAATAAATAATAATTTTGCTGGAATGTTATGTAGCTCAGACTTATAACATATCCTTGTTTTGAAGTCACAACATTGATAAGAAGCGGCCTCACCTGGCTGGTTTGGTCAGTAGAGCATGCAGCTCTTGATCTCGGGCTGGTGAGTTCAAGCAAAAAATGGCCAAAGTATGAACGGCTTATTTGTATCCTAACTTGAAATCGTTTCTTTTGTTCTGTTTTCTGAAAAACCTAGATGAGGCAGAGGCTGGTGGCAGCTAATCTTGATGGTCTGGCTGGATGTTCCCTGCCACTTTGAAAGCAGGGCAGGCAGTTTTTAAGGTGGTCCTTCTGTGTTGTTCTCCGGTAGGTTGGAGAAAATTGTACCACAAAGATCAGATTTCTGACCTTTATTCTTGTATTGCCACTCCTTCCCTCTGTATGACAAAGGTGTGTTGGGGGCACAAAAATGAAGGGCAGCCCATTTTTCAAGAATGTTGGAGGGGAGGAAGAGGGTTTTTCAGTTGCCAGTGTAGAGCCTTAGGACCTTAAAGATAGAGACTGAGAGTCAAGGAATAATCATAAGACAGCTCTGAAGACATCCAGGGGCCTCGAAAGACTTCTAGATAAGTAAGCCTCACTTTTTTTTTTTTTAATCTACTTCTGCAATTGGGGGGAATCAAACTTTCTCGGCATTAATGTTTTATGTTTAAGTTAGTGATTTTTAGAGGTTTCACTGAGACCCATCATAATTAACACTGACTAACCTTAACTTTGAAGAATAAAACTAAAAAAATCACTAATGATAGAATGAAGATGTTGGCCAAATACATGGAGAGAGCACTCTCAAAAATAAAACAAAAAAAAAAGATACTTTTTAATTTTCATTTTGACTTAGTCATGAGAAAATTTTAAAGCCATGTTTTCGGGATGTGCCTAATAGTCAAGTCATTATGTCTTATGTGCAATGAAAATGAAATTCAAGTCACTTATGGGCTCTGCCATTTGAATTTAGAGAGGGAATATAAGTTTCTTTTTGAATGCCAACTGGAGATTGTCATCTTGCCTCCTATGTAATCTATTTTGTTGTGACAGACTTCTTTTACCTGAACAAAGGTAAACACCTTCTCATTTCCTTTCATAGGAATTGGGTAAGTTTGGTCAACAAGTTTGTTTTATGTCAGGAAGGGCATCACTGTAATAACTCTGCTCCTGAATGAGGATGTCAGGTAAATATTAAATTTTATTTGTTCTCAAAATAAAGTATTTTTTAAATTTAACTGATGTTCAGATTTTGTGATGGAGATGGCAGCAGTTCATTTTTCATGAGGCATTTATTTGACTTTAAGAGACTTTATGTTTCTTCTTTGCATTGTTGGCATCTGGCTCAATTTGCATGTAAATTTTGCTTATAGTTTAATTAAATCCACAGTGCTCCAGAAGAATGCCCTACGTATGATTTTCTTCTTTGACTTCTGCCATTTCCTTGAAACTACTCCATTTACAAGGTGAATGTTTTCCTTGTTTCTCCCTCATCCTCTTTCTTGCTATGCCTCAAAGGTAAATTTTCTCATTTATTTAGCCTGGATTCATTGTGGATTCTAGAAATATTTTTCACTTGTTCTATTTAAATATTTCATCGATGTGTTTCATTTCTTCATTTCCCTATCTTAAAAAGTAATTCTTACCCATAGTATAACCATGGTCTTGGATATGGGAGGATCTAGTAACTATAGTTCTGTCCAATGTACATTTTAGAGTATAGCTTTTCTTATCACAGTTGAGTGTTATTTCTCTTTTGTGAATCTGAACTTAATGTTACCTCAAACTATGATGCTTATAACTTCTACTTTAGTCTTGATAGGCTCTACCACTTTAGAAATGTTACAGTATTTCTGAAGTATTCTTTATATGAAGAGAAAGCCTAGGTAGCATTTTGAGTAGCTTCTCCCACTGTCACTCAAAAATGTTGGTATGTAAGCCTACCTAATTGTTTTTCTTACCTCTTCATTTTTTTTGTCAAGAAGATATAAAAAGGAAGATTTGGAATCTTCTTGAGATTTCCCCTTTTCTATAAATTGGACAAAATCATTATTACTTTTCAGCCATGGGCAGTAGATATTAATGAATCTCTGCTGTTCTGATCTGGTAAAAGGCCTTTTATAGAAACTTTTCCATCTTGTTCATAATTACTTGTTCCATGTTTCTTAATTTGGGTCTGGGTCATGGATTGAACAGAATTTGAAAAATACTAAAGATAAATCATTGCTGAGTGTATGTTTAATGTTTCTCAGTGGTTTCTACTACTGTTGTCTCCATAGTTTTGTAAAAAGAGTTTTTGTTGTGCTTAGGGCCACAGTACCTTAGGACTACTTCCTATTCGTGATTACTTTCATCTATTTTTTTGGCTAAATTTTTCTTGTTGTTGTTTAACTACCATATGTAGTCATGTGGCAGTTGAGTTCCTTACCATTTTAATTCTAATTTTATTCATTTTAATGAGTTTTTAATGTGTAATATTTATTTTATTTCCACCTAGTACTAAGCTACCTTTAAATTTGTTATAAGAAGCCCAAATTTTATTGGCAGTCCAGAAGTTTCACCAAACTTCTGACAAACCAAATCAAAGAAAAAGTCATGCTTTTTTGGATATCTATAACAGAATGTCTGCCTCAATGTACTAAGCTCCTCACAGAATAAAAGATCTATAGAGATAACAAGAATATGATTAACAGCTGACTTCTCATCAGAAACAGTGGAGGAAAGAGGCAGTAAGTTGGCATAGACAGACAAAGAGCTAAAGAGGGCGGAGTGAGGGGTGCTGGGGAACAACCTAGCAGTCAAGGAAAGCTATCCTTCAAAAGTGAAGATGAGATAAAGACAGTCCTAAATTAAAAAAGACTGAGAGAGCTGGTGCTAGCTTACCTGCCTTACAATATATACTAATAGAAGTTTGTTCATATGAAAAGAAATGACATAAAATGGTGATTCAAATTCACTAAGAAATAGAGCACTGGTGAAAGTAATTATGTATCCTTCTTTTCCTAAATAGCTTAAAAGATACCTGAATAAAACAATAATTAGAAAACTGTATCACTGAGTTTATAAGATATAAAGATGGTATGTGTGTGTATTTGCACAAGGGGAAGAGAGTAGAAGAGAGCTATATTGGAGAAAGTTTTTTGTTAATGGGATAAAACTCTTTATTCATAAATAATATGATCTTGTATGTAGAAAATCTTATAGAATCGGAAAAAAACCTGATAGAGCTAATGAATGAGTTCAGCAAGGTTGCAGGATACAAGATCAATAGGCAAAAATAAATTTTATTTCTCTTTACTACCAATGAACAACTTAAAAAATGGATATATATTTAATAAAAGCAGTGTAAGACTTACACACTGAAAACAACAAAACATTGCTGAGAGAAATTAAAGATCTAAATAAATGGTATTCCATGTTTATGGATTGCAAGACTGAAGGCTGTTAAAGTGTCAGTTCTTTCCAAGTTAATCTGTAGATTCATTGCAGTTTCTATGAGCTTTCCAGCAGATTTTGATAATTTGGTTTTTGCAAAAATTGATAAGGTGATAAAATTTATATGGAATTACAAAGGAATAAGAATAGCTGAAAACAATTTTGAGGAAGAAGAGCAAATTTGAAGATTATTCTTTCCAATTTCAAAATTTACTCTAAAGCTACAGTATAATAAAAATTTAACCTAACTCACATGACTTTTCCCCCTTGCCAAAATCACACAACCACAAGGAATGTATTCTGTCAACAACCTGTAAGAGTTGGAAGCAGGTTGTTCTCAAGATATTCCAGATTAGAGCCCAGTCCAGCTGACATCTTCCAGTCTTATGAGAAACCAAGCAGAGAACCTAACCAAGCCTGCCTGGACTTCTGACTTACAAAACTATGAACTAATGAATTTGTGGTTTATTTTAAACCACTGCATTTGTGGCAATTAGTTATGCAGAAATAGAAAACAAGACATACAGTATTCACAATAGCATGGTTCATGCCATCTATATCATGGGCATATAGATCAATGCAACAGAACTATGAATTCAGAAATAAACTCTAGCAATT